TGCTGCTGGGGAGGAGGGCGAGGGGGGCCCCACCCTGGCGAGTGTGGGGGCCCCCAGCGGGGCTTTGCAGGCGCTGCTGCAGAGCGCAGCAGTGCGGCGCGCAGTGTCTCTAAAGGGACAGTTTAGAGACTCCGAAAAGGCCCACCAAGTCGACAAAGTTCTTTTCGATGTTTTGGGAAAAGAAGAAATTGCGCAACTCGCGCAGCTCGAAGTCCTCAACCGCGAGCTGTACGTACACCTCACCAACACCCCACACCCCTTCGGCGTCCTCGACCTCCGACTCGGTCAGTCCCCGGGGGCTGGGGTTTAGGGTTTGGGGTTAGGGTTTGGGGTTAGGGTTTGGGGTTAGGGTTTGGGGTTAGGGTTTGGGGTTAGGGTTTGGGGTTTGAGGTTAGGGTTTGCTTTCAGCGAGGGTTTAGGGGGTGGGGTTTGGGCTTTTAGCGAGGGGTTAGGGGTTGGGGTTTTTACGAGGGTTTAGGGTTTGATAGAGGATTTAGGGTCTCCAACAAGTGCTAGGGTTTAGGGTTTGGTGTTTAGGGTTTAGGGTTTAGGGTTTAGGGTTTAGTCGACTAAAGGCTGTTATCTGTTTGGTCCTTTTTTTTCTTTTGGGGCTGCTGTTGCTGTTCTTCTTCTTCTCGCTTTTTTTTTGCTTTTTGTGTCTCATTTTTGTCCCTTTTTTGTCTCCTTTGTCTCCTTTTTCTCTCCTTTTTGTCTCCTTTTTTGTCTCCTTTTTTGTTTCCTTTTTTGTCTCCTTTTTGCCTCTTTTCTTCCTTTTTTGTCCCTTTTTTGTCTCTTTTATGTCTCTTTGTTTTATCCCTTTTTTGTCCTTTTTGTCTCTTTTTATCTCGCGTTTTTGTCTCTTTTCTGTCTCCTCTCTGTCTCTTTTTTGTCCCTCTTCTCTTGTCTCCTTTTGTCTCCTCTTGTCTCCTTTTGTCTCCTCTTGTCTCCATTTGTCTCCTTTTGTCTCTTCTTATCTCCATTTGTCTCCTCTTGTCTCTTCTTGTCTCCATTTGTCTCCTTTTGTCTCCATTTGTCTCTTCTTGTCTCGAATTGTGTCCTTTTCTCCATTATCTTTACTGTCTCCTCAGTTATCTTTACTGTCTCCTTTTCTCAATTATCTTTACTGTCTCCTTTTCTCAATTATCTTTACTGTCTCGAGTCAATAGAAATGACAGAGGAAAAGAGTTAATAGAAAACTGTCTCCTTTTCTCCATTATCTTTACTGTCTCCTCAGTTATCTTTACTGTCTCCTTTTCTCAATTATCTTTACTGTCTCCTTTTCTCCATTATCTTTGCTGTCTCCTTTTCTCTATCATCTTTCTTGTCTCCTTTTTCTCCATTACCTCATTATCTTTACTGTCTTTAATGTCTCATTATCTTTACTGTCTCCTTTATCTCCATTATCTTTACTGTCTTTAATGTCTCATTATCTTTACTGTCTCCTTTATCTCCATTATCTTTACTGTCTCCTTTATCTCCATTATCTTTACTGTCTCCTTTATCTCCATTATGTCCATCATATTTACTGTCTCCTTTTTCTCCACT